GCGCTTGCTGCACAAAGTTCTGACCTGATGCGACGCTTGTTATTAGAGCACCATTGGGGGTTCAATGTGGAAGGTAGACTGGAAGCAGGGAGACTGCCACTCGGGAGACAGGTAAGGACACCACATCCATAATTCAGTCCCACATCGTTCCGTGCTGGACCAGGTAGGAGGTGTGAGAGGGCTAAGCCAGGACCCAGCAAACCAACGAGATGTGGGGACTAAACAACCACCTGGCCCAGAAGGTGCGGCATGACGGCAGGTTGGTTTGAATCACACTTTGCCCCAAGTCAGGGCGATCTGGACTTAATGGCACAGCAATGCTCCTGTAGCCAAATGGAGGCCCAGCCTCCATGAAATGTGGATTTGTCACAGCTCAGTCTGCTGCACGGCCTGAATGTGAAGATGGAAAGAGCTAAGCTATGCGAATTTGCTTCCTAATGTGAAGTAAAATGTCAAGGGTAGAGAATTCTCCTAATACTATTACTAGCAATAATAGTGACAAATTATCATTGGCTGCTAATCTGAAGACACTTAAACTGAGGAGAAAAACAAAACGCAGAATGAAAGACCCACATTAACTATCAGAAGAATTAAGAAATGAGTGTAAACGGTAGACAGTAAATTGGCTGAGAAAGGTGCCCCAGATGGGGAGCTGTGTTTTATTTTGTTCTGCTTCTGCGTTATAACTGGGGAGAGGGCAGGAGAGTTCGAGAGAGAAAGAAGTGAGTAGGCCTTTGCAGCACCACACTGCTATCCCTTCCCAGGCTCTGGGAGCGGATGGGGGATCACAGGAGGGGCACGGTGGGGCCACCACCTCAGGAAAGCAGAGGGCCACCAGGTTTGCAAAGAAAGGATCAAGGTGAGGATGGAAGCACAAAGCCTACGCTTGTCTGAGGGCGAGTCCAAACCCACAGCCTGGAGAACACAGGGCCAGAGGGCTTGCTGCCTACACAGCTAAAACAGACACAAAAATGACACGAGAATAAAAAGTGAGATGGAAAATTACACACAGTGGAGAGAGGTGGACTTGGTTTGTTTTCTGTTGCTACTTTTAGAAGCCTTTCAAGAATGAGTCAAGATGTAAAGAACTTTGTGTTTGTTTTATTTTAAGCAAGAGACTGACACCAGACAACAGTGCCAGAGCCAGTCCCACCCAGTCCCCAAGTCCCTAACCATGAACTCAGTCAAGGGTAAGTTATTCCAAAGAAATCATCCCAGTTGATAAGGTGTGATCCCAAGGCTGAATTCTACAGACCTGGTGAAA